AAAATTTAAAAGTTGCTCATTTTTTATTTTTTATGATTTTTATGAAAGGTTTCAAATGCAATTTCTCAATTTCAATCATTTAAGGCAATGCACAGATCATAAAATATCCAACCTACTGGTGACCTTTTCTTTTTAAAATCTTACATTAAATCCAAAATTAAATCAATTCAAGTATGTTATTTTTGGTCTTTTTTTTTTTTTTATGATTTTTATGAAATTTTTCAAATGCAATTTCTCAATTTCAATAATGATTTCATCTGGTATTTTTAATTTCATTCTCCTATTCTAATTAAAAGTTCTTTTTTTTTTTTTTCCAGATAAAGTACCAATATAATCCATTTTGCTAAAAGATGTTGCAATTTTAATTATGAATTTGAAGTTTTTGAAGTATTTGTTTGTTTTTAGATGCATTTTTCCATCAAATGTGAGACAAATATAAAAGAGATTTTTTTTTCCTGCTTTCATTACTCTTTTTTCATCCAAACTTTCGATACGTGAAAATTCAACTATAAATTAATAGTAACGAGTTAGTATATATGAAAATTGAATTTTTGATACTGTAATTGAAAATAACATTGTGAATTGATTCCAGTATTGCTGTGTGAATTGCGCTGTGTATTACTTTGATTTTGCTTCCAATATTTGTGATTCTATCATTCTGAATTGTTCAGGGGATAAAATTAGATCTGTTTGGTGAAATTAATTGAGAGTATTTGATTTAATTTTACTTGATACTTGATTTGGGCTTAACTTGTTGTTTTATATTTTTATTATCATTAAATTCATGACCAAAAACTCAAAGTTCGGGGTCGACTAAATTGTGCAAACACTGAACGAATTTCCTGGCTCCGCCCCTGGTCATCTCAGCTGTTCGACTCAGCTCACTGTGAGTCATACGCCCACTACACCGAGAGCGAGTCGATGGGGGAGGGAGGTCTCGAGGAGGACTTGCCATACGGTGCCGAAGATATGGCCAGCGAGGCTAAGTTGTCGGACAGCAACGAAAACGGTCCAATTTTACCACCAACTGTGGATATGCTGCCGGAAGAAGGCTTCTCTCTTCGAGAGTGGGGAAGGTGACTTCGAAACATCCTTTGCATGTGTGTATGCTGATTATCCCCGCCTTTACAAATAGTATATGTTGAATTTATTGGATGATTTGTAAAATTCATGAGAAATCATTGTGCTAAAATCTGCAGGCAAAATGCAATTCGGGTGGAGGAGAAAGAGAAGATGGAGAAGGAGATGTTGAAAGAACTAATTGATGAAGCTGATGAATACATTGCAGAGTATAAGAAATGGAAGATCAGATGTGACAACAGCAGAGCTTCCAACAGGGAGAAGGATAAGGTTAGATTTATAAATTAAAGAAATCTTCAATGATCGATTATTAAATCCATAAGAATTTTTCACTATATTGATTGAGTATGCGAGTTTGGCATGACTTTTGAAAAGTCATAGGTTTGACTAAGTTTAAGAAACATCTTTGAATAATTTTCTGAAAAATCTATATTTGATTATAAGAGGAAAACTTATCCAAGGTAGCTTCTTCTCACGTTGCTTTTGTAGAAAAGAAGTAAAAGTACTGTCAAATTGACCTTAGATTCGGCACATGAAATGAAGATCTGGTACCAATTAATTTTGGAGTCAACTACCTTAATCCAATTTCGTGAATCTGATTCATTGCAACTTGCAAGATGGACTGAGAGATGCAACATAATTAGACCCATAGCAACTACTACTAGTCATCTTAGTTTTGATCTACCCATGTTCTAGCAAGATAGTTTCACTTTTGTGAATATACACTTTTTTGTGTTTATCTTATTTATTTTTAGTACGACAAAACATCAATCTCTAATTAGCAAGTATTGAACCAAATCATCAAGTCTAAAGCTCAAGCTTAAGAGATGAGACACATTTAATGTTATATATTTAGCACTTGTTTGAGCCTCTTTTTTTGGCTAATAATGTATTTTGAAATAGTAAATTGATGGAGAATGTATGGTTAAAAAATAAGAATTTTTTTTGAATTTTACGTGTAATATTATTTTATTGGAGAATGTATGGGTTGAAAGAAAGAGAGAGAAAATGTATTTTATAAATAATGGGGATTAAAAAATCTTCAACACACCCTTCACGTGCATGCCTGATTCATTTTTTATCAATGGCTTGACACACAGAGAATGTTTATAATTTATAAAATGGAAAAAGGTGATTAGATTTAGATTCGAGTGTTAATTTGTTCTTATGATATGTTGAACCACTTTATCTAAAAATTCAAATGGATGCAGAGAAACTTATAGAGGCAAGGCGTATGTTTATTTAAGCTAAATTCGTAATTCGACTCGATCTTCTGCGGTTGGCTTTGGAAAGCAGAGAAAAATTTCATACAGAGGCCAACAAAACCTACTTTAAATCAATTGCTGAACTTATATCAAATGAAGTTTCGTGCCATTGAGAAGAAAGGTAAAAAGGGTAAAGAAAAGCAACCTTCCATTGTTGTGATTCAAGGCCCCGAGCCTGGCAAGCCAAATGATCTTTCCAGGATGGGTCAAGTACTCGTCAAACTAAAACACGAAACCCCTCCTCACACGATGCTACCACTGTTGGGTTTCCCTCTTTGTGAGGGAGCCCATTCTATTGGTAAGTGGGCTTTCTCACTTGGGGCCAAAACCAATATAATAGCATGTTGGAAACCATATCACACAATACACGGACAAAGAGCAAACGAGAGAGAGAGAGATAGAGAAAGAACGAGTTTAGCCTCTTCTTACCAAAGATCGGAGGTCCATTGTGGTCCGATTAAAGTGAAATTTTAGTATGTTGTTCCTGAAGAAGAGGGCTACATTTTGACCGGAGTTGATCATCAAATTTCTCTCCATTTTTTTGGGCTACACACTCTTGTTTAGTGATATTTTCTCCTTATTGATGTGTGTATCTA